CAGTTTGTAATAGCTAAAACTTGGAAGCAGTCCAATTGCCCAACAACTGGAGACTGGATAAAGAAAATGTGGGATTTTTTAATAAAATGGAGTACTACTCAGCCATAAAAAATGAGAAATTAGAGACATTTATAGCTAAATGGATGTACATTGAGGTGAGACTCTTAAGTGAAATAAATAGGACACACGTGTAAGTGCCAAATAGTTTCTCTAGTGTGAGAAACTGAAAGTGTCGATAAAGACTAAAAGTTATAATTGATAATGTGAAATAGGAAGAAAAGGGGCAAAGGGGAAGGAAGTGGAGGAGTAGGGGAAAGGAAAGAAGGGAATGGAATTAATATGAGAAATGGAAAAATGGAAACAAAGTCTTTGTAGATAGGGAGGGATGGAGGGGTTGAAGGGAGGGCAGGGGAAGGGGAAAAAATAAGAACCAAGAGAGATTATGTAAAGATGCAAATTTCCAATGATGAATGTCATCATATTGTGTACCTTAAATGTACCAAGAAAAATTTTTAAAAGATTACTAAAATTATGTGAATAATGGCAGTTTGGGGCTTTAAAAACTATTTTTATTTATCTTGATATTTTCTGCTTTGGTTTAATTCTTTGTAATGAGCATATGTAAGTCTTATCAGATCGAGAATTTTTTCTTTAAAAATATAGGAGTAAATATGTAATATGTTAACAGTGTTGATTCTATGTCAGAATGACATTCTTATCTCATCTTTTCTTATTCTTTCAATTTTCAAGGATATGTTTTTCAGTAAATACATATATACTTACACAGGCACATCCATACATATACACATTATATGTACACATAGAAACATGTATATACAGACACAAATCAGAACAAATTAAGATACATAATTTCCAAATAATTGAAGAAAGCTTAGTCATTATGGCAAATGGAGGAAAAATAAATGGAGGAGTAAACTCAGGAGGCTGCTGAGGAGAGGAGTTGGTTTGAGAAGTTACTTATTTTCAAATTTCAAGAGAAATCAATTGATTTTATTTTTGTGTATTGAGTACCATTATTCATTACTAAATATTGTCATTTCATATTTGTGTTTTACTTCTTTTAGGCACTTTTAAGGGCTATGTTAAGAGCCTTTCCAATATGCTATTGGATTCTGGCACATATGTAAACATAATTTTTCTTCCATTTCACAGATGACAAAAGTGAGGTCAAGACAGGGCAGCAACCAGCCCTGTGGTGGAAGCAAGATTGAGCCCTGATGGGCCTGACCTCAGAGCTCACGTCCTACACAGCCCTCAGTGATCCGCCTCCACCACGGCAAGGCCTGAGCAAGGCCAGAAACAACCAAGTGTGTAGAGTACTGAGACCAGACTGGCAGGTGGGGAGGGGGCAAGGGAAGAGGTACTCACCGGGGCTGGGGTGGACTCTGGTGCCTGGTCACCAGGGACACATTCCCCTAGGGCAGAGGACAGCAGACAGGAGTGAACAGAGGGACAAGGCCTGGGCGTAACCTGGACCTAGAGTTCTTTTACGACAGCAGATGCTCTCCACCTCGTGAGTGGCCCTGCCCACTCTGCTTGCTCAGGGTCACTCATTGGAAAGACAGCAGGCTGGTGGCCGCACTGTCATCACCACCTGCCCACCCACCCCTCACTACACACATCTCAACATCACCGCGAGAACAGCAATAGCTAATGTTTATCGAGCACTCGCTAGGCACAGTGTTGTTGTACTTAGTGGCTTTATCTCGACTCCTCACAGCAGTAGATAAGGCAGCCATTATTGTCCCCATCTTACAGATGGGTAAAAAGAGGCTCTGAGAGGTTGAGGTTGGCTAGCCAGAAGCCACATAAATTAGAACCTAGAGCCCATGATCCAATCCCAGTACTCTACGGTCTCCTAGGGTCTAAGAGGTTCCTATGGATTCTGGATGTGGCCTCACTGAGACAAATGGCCGTCAAAGGCACATGGAATTGGTTCTCCTCCCAGCTTTGTCAGCGGTGTGCTGTGAGGCTTGGAGCCAACCCAGTGGTTCTCTGATTCTCTATAAAGAGGGAAGGGAAGGGACTGTAGTTCCTGTTTGCCCCCAGGGTTATAGGAAAGACACAGGGGCTGGGTGGTCTCTGGGGGCCATGAAGGAGGAGTAGGGGATAGAAATAGAGGTGGGTTAGGGGGTGCCATTTACCTCTGTTGGCCATTGTGAAGATGGAATCCTCGGGGATGCCTACGCCCAGGGCCATCTCCCTGAATTCCTGCAGGAGGCTGTCTCTCAGCCGCGGCTCTCTCCCTAGAAGTAGGAGGTAGAGGAGACACCTAAAGCCATCAGGCACCTGGCCTGGCCAGGGCAAGACAGTTTGGCCTGGAGATTTTTGTTTGGGCAAAGTTTGAAAACTATTGCCCTGTTCAGTCTCCCCAACTAAGCCCTACCTCCCTCCTCCAGGGAATGCAGACATTTGCCTCTTCCCCTAACTGGAGTTGTGTCAGAAAGAAAAAAGCCGAACTCCCTGTTCTTCCCCAGCCTACCATCCAAAAATCAATGGTGCCCTCCCACCCACAATTCCAATCTGCTCATCTTGTTATTGGGCTTTACCATAGAGCTTGGCAGTAATGGTCGGTCCATGGTGGTGGCTGAACTTCTTAGTTAGAATGATGGCATACTCATCATAGTTGGTGTGGACCACATAGGACTCCATGGTTACATTCCATTCTGTAGAGAGATGAAGGCAAGATTTGTGGTCAGGAGGTTCTTCTGGGTGACCCATCACCCACTCACTCACACATCATGTCTTCAGCCACCCGTCCATCTAGCCACCTGTCCCTGCTGAATATGTCAGTTTACCCTGTCTACCACACATCCATCATTAATTCACCCACCATCACTTTCATCAGTCCTCTCTAAATCCTCCCTCCCCTCCTTCCTTGATGTTGTCCTCAGCATTCAGCACAGTACCCTGTTCTGGATGAGTACTTGGAGTGCGAGAGGGAGGAAGAAAGAGGAGGAGAAGGCATCTGGAGAAAGGTAGGTGACATCTCAACTAAGTGGGAGGAAATAGGGACAGACAGCAAGTGAACTGAGGACACGAAGGTGCTTCTGAGCACAGGAGAGGAGGGTGAGTCTCCTCCCTCACGTACTGGACTTGTGGTAGAGGAACTTCCCAGCCGTGTCTGTTTTCTCGTAAACCCCTGAGGTCTCCTGGCACACCCCTCGCCTAGAATGAACAAACCAAAAAGAAGGTAACTTGTGGTAGAACCCATGGTCTTGACTCCCAACCCTGTTGCAGGACTCTGTATTTAATTTCCTTTTTTAAAATTTGGAAATAACACTTCCAAACATTCTGTTACATGCCGACACCCACCGGGGAGACCCCCATTTTACGTAAGTGGGAACAGAGCAGGAGTCGGTTGTGAAACAGACACAGTGGTGGGACACGGCGCTTGCAGTGTAGACAGGACAAGGAAAGGGCGCCTTCTTGGGGCAGGGGAGGAGGGGCCTGGTGCTCAGGCGCCAGGTCCTGTCACCCTCCAGGAGAAGCCTGGTGCTGGGGTCCTGGTCCCTCTTGCTGCCCCTACTCACCGCCAGTGGGTGTGGGTTGTGCTGATCTGTGTCTCCGTGGTCCCCTTGCCCAGCACCATTGTGCTCACACTCAGCCTGTCTTTGATCCTCTTCAGCCACGGGCACGTGGAGCCCGTAGCCAGGTTGAACCATTTCCCATAGATCTAGGAGGCAGCACCAGCTCTAGGTCTGGATTGGCCTCGGACCTCAAAGAAGACTTGGCTGACACCCCCAGCCCCCTTCTCTCAATGACCAGCCTTGTATGGTAGGTGATGGGGTGGGGTTTTTTTACAGCAATGAGGATTGAGCCCAGGGGTGTTCTACCACTGGGTCACATCCCCAGCCACTTACTTACTTATTGTCAGTTTGAGACAGGGTTTCTCTAAGTGGCCCAGGCCGGCTTTGAACTTGTGCCCTTCCAGCCTCAGCCTCCAATAGAGCAGGGATTGCAGGCGTATGCCAGCATGGCTGACCGATAGTGTCTATGGTGAATGGTGGGGCTGTACCCTCAGTGGGAAGGAGGGATTGTGGCAGTGCCCTGGGCTCCGTGGGGCCACGCAGGACGGCACTGTGGCCTCTTCCTCTTCACAGCTGGAGAGCACCCTCATCACCCAGAACAGGCTAAGGAGCCTCAGACCCTCTGCCATCCTGACCCCCAGAAGGCCCTGCTCCCCATGTCCCCTCTGCCCATACCCTCCCTTGTCCCTAAGGTAAAGCGAATGTGCTGTTGCTGCCTCAAGTAGGGTCCAAGAGTCTCACACAGAGGTGGAGACTGAGCTGTGGGCAGGCAAGTTCCTGCTCAAGGTCACTGTGCCATTCAGGGCAGAGCTGGGGCTGCAGGCAGCTTGAGGCCCTGTGCCACACACACACACTCACATGCACACACACGCAAGCACACACACCTGGTGCTGGGTCCCGCCCCAGGCCAGGACATCTCGCCAGCCTTCCATCAACCTCTATCCTGCTTCTCCTCTTCCCATGATCCCTCATGCCCAGCACAAAGGTCATGGGCAGTGAGTCCCCCATGCCACCTAGTTTCCGTGCATGTGAGGCTAGGGACCAGGACGGGCTAACAGAAAGATGCTGCAGCTAGGCTGGATCACTAAAGGATGAAGGTCTGGAGCAGGTGGGCCTCAAGGGTCACTAAACACTGGGCCACGAGAGGGCTGCAGGGCTGGCAGAGGACAAAGCTTTCTCTGCGAGGAGTTCCCATGGGAGGATAGGTTTCCCTGGGACCCATGAGGACAGTGTGTGAGGACGTTTGGCTCAGAGTGTCAGAGGAGAGTCCCACAGAACGAGTTGGCAGACTGTTGTAGCTTCAAAGAACCCCAGGAGGCCGAACAGAGGGGCCCTTCAGGGCTGAGCAGTGGGGTTCCCGTTGGGGACTGAGACCCTGAGACAGGCAGAACTTGGCCAGCCAGGCCCGGGCACTTGGACACTACAGCCCCACAGCCACCCACAGGGAGGCCGGCCTTACCCGGGATTCATCAAAGTTCTCCTGCACTTGGATGTTGTCTGGCGGCATCGGCACAGGATTCACACTCACGGCCAGGTAGGCGGCCAGCAGCAGGAGCAGGGCCCCAACACCCTGCATGGCTCTTGGTTCTTCTGTCTCACCACTCAGACTGGAGACACGGGCGCTGCCACCTCCCTGGCAGAGGCAACTGTGAACTGAGGCTAGGAACGGGGCCCAAGGTTTGTAGGTGACCTTGGTGTTTGCTCTGCTCAGCTAGGACGAATCAGGGCCATGTGGCCACTCTGATTGACCCTGTGGCCTGGTCAGGGTCAATCCCCGAAGCGCAGAGGCCAGGATGGTGGACTTGGAAGAGCTGAGTCCCCAGAAAGTGTCCCTGTGAATGCCCACCTGTTACAGCGGCCACTTGAGGCAACATCCAGCCTTTCCTGCTGTGTTCCCCCACCTGAATGCTGGCAGTTCGAGTCTGAGGAAACTGAGGCCCAGGGACAGGAAGCAACTTATCAGCCATGGCAGGGAGGTCAGGCGGAGCCAAGACTGACACCACAGCACCCTGCCCCCGACCTGCTTTCTCTGACCCTTGGCTTCCTGGTGCCTTAGCAGATCACAGCAGATGACGATGGCGATGATGGTGGTGGTGGTGGTAGCAACAGAACCCACTCACTGAGCACCTGCTACATGCAGATTTGGTCCCCAGCATTTGCACAGGTCACAGGGTTGCATTGAATTCCGAACCTCCTCCGGAAGCGGGTGCTATCTTCCCCTTTATAGACACAGGATTCGAGTCACTAAGAAGTGGGGTGTCTGGCCAGGGATCCCCACGGGGATCTGCTGGGGAAGGGGCCATCTGTCCATGGCTGAGAGTGGGCACTCAGGGTCCAGCAGATGACGTGGGACTCCTGCTACTGTGTGACCCCGGGCAAACCACTCCACCTCTCAGTGCCTTGATTTCTGCATCTGTAGATGGAGACCACAGTCCAGGTTCCTGGAGGCATCGGCACTGGTGATGCACTAGCAGGTTCCTGGCACCACGGTGTCCCCTCCCAAATTCATACCCACCCACGCTTCCGGATGCGACCTCACTGGCAGACAGGATTTAGTTAGGATGAGTACGGACGGGACCATTGTGGGTCCTGAATCAATGACCAGCGTCTTTATGTGAGACCCACAGAGACACCCATACAGGGACAACGGCCACGTGCAAACAAGGCAGAGATAGGAGGGATGCGGCTATAGGCTGCCTAGGCTGATGGCAGCCACCGGAAGCTGGCAAGTGGCAAGGGAGTATTCTTTCCGAGAGCTCCCGGGGGAACTGGCCTCTGCCAGCAACTGACTTCCATCACTGTGATGGAGTACACTTTTGGTTTTGCCTGCGTGTGTGTGTGGCACTGGGAGCTGAACTCAGGGGCTCACACCTGCTTATGCAGGTACTCCATCACTGAACTACACAACCCTCCAGCCCTTTTTCTTTTAAGCCAGGGTCTTGCTAAGTCTCCAAGTTGTCCAGCTGGCCTCACAGTTGTGACCCTCCTGCCTCAGCCTCCCAGTGCTAGGATCACAGGTGTGCCCCATTGCTCTCCGCCACTTCTGTCGTTTTAAGCTATCTGGTTTGTGGTTCTAGAGCAGCTCTAGGAAACATATATATTAGTCATTAGGTTTCACATTTTAAACGGGATCTTTAAAAATCCAGATCTGTCTGCCTCCCGAGCTCAAACTCCGTCCAGTAATATCGTGGTCTCCTGAAGAAGTTTTCTCCTCCAGAGGTTAAAGCTGCTGTTCTTCCTTCCTCCTGGATCCTAGCAGGGAACGTTCCATCCTGCCAGAGCTGGAGTGTCCTTTTTGTAAGGTGGGTCCAAGGGCCAGCCCCCTGCTATGTGAGAACTGGTGGGGTGGAGATCCCTTACATCGTCAGTGCTTGAACAAGATCCAGTGGATGCATTCTTTACACAGGTACCTGAACAAGCGTGTGTCTATTAATAAGAGAATGTGTTTCCTTTGCTCCATAACAGTCAGCATGGCCACTGATTACATTTCTTTTGGTTTTTTTGCTTTGGCTCCCAGGAAGCTCAAATTCCTGATGCACATTAAATATACTATCTGTCTTGATTTGGCTTTCTGGGACAGTTATCCCTTGTGCTCATAAACTTTCTTGATCTTTTATGGTTTGGTTAGTGGTGGTAGCAGAAAGGTGGTCTGAAGTAAGAACTGGAAACCAGAAATCCTGGCTTCCCTGTGTTCTGAGTCAGGAATGGCTTTCCTGAGGTCCTTGCTAATCGGTAAACTGAAGATAACAGTCCCCGTTCTGACTGCTCAGAGGTCAAGCAAGACTTGTTTGTGAGGCGCTAGTGAATGGTCTACCATCTCCCCTGTGTACCAAGCCCTCCACCTGACCTTCCTGGGGCCTGCAGGGTCACGGTTGTCATCCCCATGGTGCTGCTGGGAAGCCGAGGCCCACGGAGGCAGCCCAGCTCCGACCCTGGCCACTCCAGCGGTGGGGGTGCTGAGCACTCGGGCATAGCCTCCTGCTGCCCAGGGCCGGGATGTTTGTTCTCGGGAGATCATTAACCTGAGCAAACAGCGAGGGAGAGGCTACTGGGCCATCTGGACTTTGAGCTGGTGTGTAAAAATTAACCCTGGCCTGAGGATACCCAGCCAGCTGAGTCCCCTTGTCCCTTCCTGGCTGTCTGGGAGGGAAGACCCTGGGGTCCAAGAGTCCACCGGAAGTGGCCAGTGCCCAGAGCCATTTCAAGGTGGGGGGAAGGCTGTCCCACGCAGGACCCCTCAGAGGCACCCAGCGCCATGGGAAAACCACAGGGCCCCAGGGAGGGAATGGCTCTCCTTCAAGGTCACCTAGCTTGTGGCCCAGTTGGGGCTGGACAGGCCTGACGCCCACCCAGGCTTTGTCCCCATCACTAATCCACGTGCTCACTTATTCAGTCACCAAATTCACACTCTGCACCTGGCGCTGGGGACAGGACAGGGGCACAGTGGGCCTCCGGGCCCTGGCTTGAGGTCTGATCAGAGGGGCAGAAAAGTGAGGAAGAGAGGGGGGTGAGGTGGGATGATCCCCATAGTAACAGGGGAAACAGAGGCAGGGGAGGGAATCAGACCTGGAATGGGAGTCACCCAGACTGCCACAGGGGAGGAGGGTTTCACACACAGAACAGTTACTGCAAAAGTCTTAGAGCAGGAAAATGGACAGAGAAATGCACTGGCAATGCAAAAATAAATTTAAAACTCCAGGCCGGGTGTGGGAGTGCACATCTGCAATCCCAGCACTCTGACTGGGAGGCTGAGGCAGGAGGATTGTGCATTCAAGGCCAGCTTGGGCAACTTTAACAAGACCCTATTGCAAAGAAACCAGAAACAACAGCAACAATAAATCCATAGGTGTGGAGCTCTCCAAGGCGAGCTGGGAAGGTGGCAGGCTTGCTCCTCACCCAGAGTGTGCAGCAGATGCTGGAGGGTTTTCAGAAGTGGGCTGCAATTCCTTAGGTGGCTTTCCAGAGAGAGAAAAGGCCGGGCACTGGGACGGGTAGGCTGAGCCTCGGGTCTCCTCTTGCAGTGGGAGAACAGGGCAGGACCCGGCGTTCTTGCCTCAGGGCTGTCGCTTCAGGGCCACCGAGGTGAAGCTGGAGGTGGACAGCACCAGGTCACACGGGTCACCATGGATGTGAGAGGGATGCTCCCCCTGCTCGGCCGTTTCCAGGCTCTGTTACTCTTTCCTCCACCCCTGACCCAAACAGCAAGGCCACCCAAGACTTGAACTCAGTCCTCATGACTTGCTGGTGACCAGGGGGCAGACGTTCCCTCGCGGGCCTCAGCCCGTACTTCCCGACCTTACCCGACGTGGCGGAAATGAGGACCGAATGATGGACATTTGTGAAAGGGCTCTGCAGCGAGCACTGGAGCGACCCGCGGGCTCCCTGGGTGGCTGGAATAGCAACGCGAAGGCGCGCAATGCTGTGTCCGCCAGGGGGCAGCAGAGAGCTTCGACAAAGACGGCAGGGTTTGTCCTCTACCTCGTTCTGTACGGACAAGGCTGAGTGCCTGGAGCAAAGAAAGACCCATCAAAAAACCAGAGCGAGAGCCCAGCCTTTCTCACCCCAGGCCAGTTTACTGCCCCCTGGTGATTGCAAACGTTCAGCCTCCACCTTGCCCATCTCCACTCAAGCTGGAGAGCTTGAGTCTTGGCTTTAAAAAAAATAAGTCCCTGGAGGATTCCAGAATTGGGTATCATTGCTATAGGCTGCAAGGGCCACTGTAACCTGAATTATCACTTTATTAAGTCCTTACATCTGCTGAGCGCTCTGCAAGGATTCTTGTCTTCTATGGTCCTCTATGAAGGGACTTGCTAGGCCGGTAGCCCCATTTTACAGATAGAGAAACTGAGGCTGAGAGATCTGGAGATCAGGTCTGGAGGTCACCCAGTCAGTGAGTGGCGATGCCAACCCAGATGTATTTCCCTGACACCCAAGACTGCTGGCCTGTCCCAGGCCCTGCCCCCTGGTACCCAGTGGGACCTCTTGCCATGTTCTTTGGGACACCTGGAGTTGAGGTGTCTCCCTTCCTGGGCCTTTTCATGGCCGGAGTGAGGTTTCTGTGTGTCTATTTCTCCTTTCTCCATCCAAGAGTGCACCTGATGCCTGCCATACCGAGTCCAGCCTTCTTCTTCTCTTTGGGGTCTAGCATTGTGCTGGATACATCAGCAAACCATGGAAGTCAAGCATGACTTCGATCCAGGGGAGAAATTTTGGTGAGGCCCCAGAAGGTGGTGAGGGAGACCAGGAGGTGGAAATCAATATGCCAGGGGCCTCTAATACTGACAATGAATGAGGAGCAGATGATGGAGGGGTTGGGAGACTCAAAGGCACAATTTAAAAATCAAAGAGCCCTCACAGTGAGGTTCTCTTGGATCCTTGGGTTTGGGTTTGTCTGTCTGCTGGGCTGGGAGCCACCTGGTTAAGCAGCAGAACTTTAGACCCACAGAGACCTGGGGTCCAATCACGGCCGTGACCTCTTGCTGCCTGTTTGATCTTAACTAAGCGACTTCACCTTCCGAACATGAGTCTTCTGATGGCGTTGTTCAGAGCTCACAGGCTGAGTGAGACTAAATGATAAGAAGCACACCCTGTGATCGCTCCTTGGAGAGCGCCTAGCTTGGTAGGGGGTGCTTAGATACCACCAATCTGAGTTCCTGATGGAAGGAGCTGATGCTGGAGAAGGAGCTCGGAGAGTGGGACATTCGTTGGAGTTGAGAATGTCCTTGTCATCTGGCTGCCTGGGGACAGAACTTGCAGCCCAGGGCCTGTCTCCCTGAGCACCATGAGGAAAGGGCTCCCAAAGGACCTCTAAGGACCTCGTCTAGGTCCAGAGAAGAGATGCAGGCATATTCCTGCTCTCTCCAACATGGCCATGTCTGTCCACTAAAATAGGGCCTCCTGCCCCAACTCCTGGCTGATCAAGTGGACACAACCCAACACATTAAAAGGTGCTAAAACTGCTCTTCGCTGAAACCATGAGGTGAGCTGGCCTCTTAGGAAAATACTACCAGTCTTTCTTTAATAAAGACAAATGACTTCTCGTGATCAGGCTACCCTGGAAGGGCAGCGGGGACTCGTCCCCGGCTCCTACCGCGACGGCCACTATTCTCCCTGGGAGAATCTGTGGGAGAAGGCTCACCCTTTAGGAAGAAGCCAGCAGAGCCAAAATCGACAACTTCAGGGGTCTGTAAAAGCAAGACACAATCCCTCCTCGTCAACTACAGGAATGGAGGAGTGCACCCATTCCTAATGATAGCGATAACAGCTAATATGTCCTTAGCACTGGCCATGTGCCAGGCTCTGTTTTTAAAGTTTTGAAAGCTTCGTTTTTAGTCCTTATTTTACCCCATGTGCAGTTAGCTCTTCTAAAGTTAAACCAATTTTATTCTCACGTTGTAGAAGAAGAAACTGAGGTTCAGAGAGGTTAACTACCTTATCCAGGACCCCAGAGCCGCTAAGTTGTGCAAGTGGAAGCTGAGCAAGGGGCAGAGTCTGCCTGAACCTCAGTAACCTGGAGATCACCCAGCTCTCCTGCCTCCCCACCCAGGGCCCTGCCCACCAGACAAGGGTGCGCAGAGTCCTGCTTCACTGGGCAATTTGGAAAGAATCCTTTTGCCTTTGGGGTGGTAAAGCTCCCTCCATGGAGGGGAAAGAGCTCAGAAAGTCTCTGCTTAATCCAAGTGCCTGTGCATCCAGCCTTGTGGGATGTGGGAGATTTTGATGGAGGACCCCCTCTCTGCTCAGGGGTTCCCAAGTCTGGGTAAACTGCTCCTCTCCTTGTCCTCCCCCGGGGTTTCACTGGGTGCACTTGGGTGGTGGGTGACCCCTTCCTCAAGAGCCAGACCACTCTAATGTAAATCCTACTCCTGTCACCTCCTGGCTGTGTGGCCACATGCAAGTTCCTTTGGTTTCTTTATTGCAAAATGAAAATATTAACACTACTCACTTCATAGGTTGTTGTGAGAAATACATGAGCTAACACATGGCAAGTGCTTGGCATCAGATAAATTTGTTAATTGTTGCTGCTTTTATTTCTTTTGCACAGTAATTATCGCTTTGCTTTTTTCCCTGCCGGGCTGGAAGCTCTTTGAGAACAGGGCGGCTCAGGGTCAGTCTAGCGCCACTCATACCCAGTGAGAGGAGAGCTGGTCTTTGGGCAGGGGCTTGTCATCTTGCGATGGATGAGAGATAACAGGACCAGAGCTGAGTGGAGGTTCCTGAGGAAGACCCCTCTGCCCAACTGTCAAAGCTCACCCTTGTGGGTGGCCAGGGTGGGCTTCAGGGATTGCCAGGGTGCTTGTCTGATTCACCCAGGTCTGTGGTGGAGCAGGCCTGGAAGCCATGTCTCCTGCCTCCAGTCCTGGTCTCCAACCATAGCATGGACCTGTCTACGCATTCCAGTCACCGCTGGGAAGATGGTGCCTACTTGCCCACCCTTGCCTGCCAAGTTTGTTTGCTTGAAATGAAGGCAGAGGAGTCCTCAAAACCTTAATAAGGAGATGAAAATGGAAAAAGCCATTTCAGAGGACACAAACTATACCACAAGGGGCTCACAGCCTTGTAAACAGAGGAGCACTCCTCCAAAGCATTGGCTCCTTGCAAAACTGCCCACCTCATGCATGCTTTCTGCTGTGCATCTACTGTACTGGCTAATAGCTGGAGTCCCCAAGGGTCTGGAGAACTCAACTAGAGCTCTAGACATCAGGTCACTTGAGATTTGCCAGCATTCTAGAAACTTGCGATGGCCTTCTGAAGTCTGGGAGTGTCCCCTCCCCGGCATGTCCCACTCTGCTGAAGATTCCAGAGAATCTCTTCCAATTTCTAGACAGTGTTTTACAATTCCAGAGAGGTCTAGGCATTTGGAATCCTGGGACATTCTTGATGCTTCCACATTTCTGAGAGCGTCTCTCATTCCAGTGCTCCAAGGTACCAGAGAGCTTCTTTTGACAGTTTTTAAGAGCCATTGGCCCAGTCCCCACATTCCAGCAATCTGCAGAAGGGCTGTGGCTCTCGGGGTTCCAGAAGCACCTGCCTTAGGAGGCAGTTTCTTAGTAAGGGCTGAATGGAGCTGCAGGCTTCAGCCGGTTCTGGAGCCCTGTGGAATCTCCTGGGCTCAGGGACTCTAGAAAGGGGCAGTGCTAGACGGAGGTGCTGATGGACAGATGTGCGGACAGCTTGTGAGACAGGGCAGCGGAGCCCAGTGCCTGTGAGTCCTGTGTCTCTCTCAGGAAAGGAAGTGGCAGTTTTGCTGAACTGGAGCATGGGACTGAGAGCCATGGCCGCTTCCAGGGCTGTCAGGAAGCATCCAAACATGAACGAAGCAGCACTAGCCAGCGACCCTGGGTGGTCCCCGTCCTTACTCCCACTGCAGCTCAGGGAAACTCTCAAGCTCCATTCCAACTGCCTCCCCCATGAGGCTGTGGGCCTCCCAGGCAGCAGGGCCACAGGCAACCAGTCAAGGGTTCTGGGGAGGGGGAGGAGCCTGGGTGGGAACCTGCAGCGCCTCCCAAGCTGACATGGCATCCAAACATTGGCCGAAGGGATGTGTGGTGTAAACTGGTCTCCACCCTCTTCAGCGCTCTGCACTCACATCCCCTCCCTAGACCTTAGAGCCCCAGGCAGAGCTCAAACCCCCCGCTGTTTGCGCTCCGCAACATTCATTAGCATCTCACCTGCCGCAGTCTGGCTGGTCTCTTGTCTATCTTCCATGCACCACCGGGGAAGTCACCTTGTACTTTGCTCAGTGCGGGCTAACAGCCAGCTCTCCATGGATATTTGCTTAATGAGCACATATTTTATTTAAGTCTGTGCTGTGGATTCCCTTCAACTGTCATGTTGGCTAAATTCTCTGCAACAGGCAAAGCCAAATGTAAGACGCTTTCTAAATACCAGGGCATTTCACCCCAGCACAGCTCTGTAAAGGAACCCAACCAATATGCCAATCTGAACATGAGGTGCTCACCCTCAGAGCAGTAAAATGGTCTGCCCAAGGTCACTTGTGGATAAGTGATGACGCCAGGTTTGGAACTTGTGTGGCTTAGTCTGAGGGCTTAACCTCCTCCTGCCCTGCCGGGTCTACCTTTCTGGACCTGGCACCACCCTCTGATCCTGGGCTATGCCTCTCTGGCCTTCCCTGAATACCCTGGTCACTGCTGGGAACCTCTAATGCCCTGCCACAAGTTAAGGTTCTCAATACCTGGGCTGGCCCAGTTGGTCGTGGTTGCATGATTTGGAGACATCTCCAAGGCCACTTTGCAGAATGTTGGGTGAGATGGCACCAAGTCTCCCTGGTGCTGCACTAGGGGGGTGGAGGGCTGATATCCTCAGGCCAGGCTCACCCTACTTCAGAGATGGGGAGACTCCACCCCGCATCTGTGACCTTCCTATCGCAACCCTGGGCTCTGAATGGTCCCCAGCAGCTCCTGGCTGGCTGACCTGCTCCTCATCCTCCTCTGATCCCCAGGCTATGGGGACAGCTGGCCTGCCTGGGGACTTGCCCACCCTGGGTCAGGTACTCCTGGCTGAGAGGTCCCATCTCTCTGTTCTGGTCTCTTCACTGGTCCTCTGCCCCAGCTCACCCTTGAGTCACTCCACTTCCCCCATGATCCAAAGGCAAACCTAACCTGGTGATTCCTCAAGAGTCCTCCATGGCTCCCCTCTGCCCTTTCCACAAGCCCAGACTCCGGATGGGGCCAGCAAGGCCCTGTGATTCCTGGACCTGAAGAGCTGGGCACCTCAGAAGTGTCTGAGGCTTTGCCTGCCAGCCCGCTCCCCTTCCCTGTGCTGATGGATGCCAGTCTCCCAGCCTTTATGGCTTCCTTGGGGCCTCCCTGACCCTTCCAGAATTTCTGTTTGGCTGACTCTCACCTTGTACCTCCTTAAGTGCCCCCCTTCCCCATCAAAGCACTTGTAAATATCTGTTTGTCCCCAGCAGTCTGTGTGTTTCCTGGGCAGTCACCTTGTCTCCTGTTGGTCGTATCTGCTCCTTACAGCTTGATTTGCAGTCAGTGCCAGTGGTGTTGTAGGATGGATGGATGGATGAGTGAATGAACAGATAAATGAATCATGGATCTCAGTTTCTCCCAATCACTCTCAGGAGAGTCAGGTTGCCCTTGTGGCTTTCTCTCCTGAGGTCCTCCCTCTGCCAGTCCCAGTTTTTCATGTAGTGTCTGGACTTCTCCATATCATTCTACTGGGGACTCACACCAAGGATCATGATGTTTCTCACATCCTCGACCCTCACAGAACTCAAAGGAACAGGGTCCCCCCACCCCCGCCCCAGTTTAAGGGACTGGAGACCAGAAATCAGCCCGGGACAGTGCAGGGCTTTCCTAGACTCCCAACACAGGCCTGTGGCCCACAAGGGCAGGCCTCCTGAGCCCACCAGGACACACACATTTGGCACACAGTGAGTAGGTCCCTTGATCACTCATCTGCCCCAGCTCAAGCCAAATCAGTGCTGCCCTGACTTCTCCGGAGGTACTCACCATCTGACCTCACCCCTGCCCAATGGCATGTTCAGCAGTGGCACACTGTAGTTGCTCAATTAAAACTTGTCTAATACATCAAAGGAGACGGGTGCCTAGAACGCTGCAGATCAGAAGGGGCCACAGCCCTAGGCTTCTCTCCTGACCTTTTAAGAGTTCCCTCCCCTCTCGGATTTCCCCATGGGGAGGTGACAGGCACCCCAGAACTGTAGTTGACATCTCTCTTTATTCATGTATTCCATCACCTGCTGCCTGTTTTCCCAGTCTTAGTTCCCCAGTCAGGGCAGGCCCACCCTTTCTCCCTCAAACTGCCCCCCACCCAGGCCCCCAGGCCTCAGAAGTGTCCTCTGTCCAGCTCAGCCACAGGGCAATCAGCAGTGGCCAGCTCATTCCCACATGGGGAGACTGAAGCAAGAGCACCGAGTAAGCCCGGGGCACAGGCAGCCCCGGGTCCCACTGTGCCTTCAGTGGGGAGGGAGGACTTGGTCCGGGCCCCGCTGAGGGCCCTCACTGGGTGGTGGCTGGCTCTGGCCACGTCGCAGGGAGCTGCTGATCTGGTGTCTGAGGGCCTCCAGCTTCTGGGCCAGGTTTGCAACCCCGGCTCCACCTGAGGAGCAGAGAGCCCCGAGGTCTGCACCAGGCCCCTCTCCATGCTGGCCACCTGGAGGAGGCTCAGATGCCTCTGCCACCCTCCCCACCTGCAGTGATCTTAGAGACACCACTGAAGCCCACCCTATCCAGAGATGGGGAGCTGGGGAGCTGGAAGACCGCAGCCCACCAGGGTCCCTCCCTCACCTCTCAGCACAGGTGGGGTGTTTGGGGGCCCCACAGGCAGTGGGGGAGCCGAGGGGACCACCTCCTTCCCAGTCAGCATCTCTGCTAGCACTTCGGTCTGCACCCCGGTGCCGTGGCTCCTGGGCCAGGTGAGTAGGGGTAGCAGGTGAGCCTTTGTGTCCCTAGGCCCTTCTCTCCCTGACCCAGTGCCTCAGGGCTGGGCCCACCTTTCTCTCAGGCACTTGGCAGAGCCAGGGCTGCATGGAGGTGCCCAGGGTGGGGGCCGGGCAGACAGAGGCATGTCGCCTGGGGCCTTGGGATCCAGCACCTGCAGGGAAGACCAGGCCCATAGTCAGGGACCCCAGCCCAGGCTCTGGATATCCCACCTCCCTGGTGTTGGCTAGGCCCTCCATGTCTGCCCCACAGGGTACCAAGAATATCTGGGCAGCAACAAGGCCCAGGGTCTTGGTCACCTTTGGCTGTGGCTCCTCTCATGCCCTCTCCTGAGACTGGGCATCCCACCAGCCCTTCAGCTCATAGCTTCCAGCCTGGACCCCCGGTTTCCATTGCTGAGCCTCAAATCACATCCCCAGATGCCTTCACCTCCACCTTGTCCTTCCTACCTGCGGCAGGTGGCCCTCCCTCCGCGGGCACGCCCCGTGGGCCAGGGGTGCTCGGCACAGGAGGCAGAGGTGGCAGCACAGGCAGGAGCAGAGGGGTGGCGGTGCCTGCAACAGGGCGCCTCAGTGGCTCTGTGACATCCCAGCCCGTCACCCTCCAGGTTGGGTGATGGGACTCACATGGCAGGGGGCAGCTGGCGTTAAGTAGGGACACAGTGGGGCAGCAGCAGGGCCGGGCCAAATGGAGCAGGCAGAGAGGAGGCGCCTGGGAAGAAGAGTGAGTCTGTGGCAGCCCCCCTCAACCCAGGGCGGGTCTCCAGGTCCCCTTCTCAACAGGGACTCCCGAAGCCCAGCCCCGGGCCCATTCTCCACGGGCCACAAACTAACTCATTCCCTCCAGGTTTTAAAGAGCCCCAGAAAGTGGGCAAACCAGGGCCCCATGTTACAGAAGAGGGAAGCCCAAGCAGTGAGGGCCCAAATGACCGGCTGAAGGTGACACTACCAGGAGGTGGCAGAGCTGGGGAATTGGGACCCAGAAGTCAGATCCTTACCCGTGCTGATGACCCCTCGGCCCACAGCCTCGTCCGAGGCCTGCTCACCCCTTCAGCTCCTGGACCTGCTGGGCCAGGACCTGCTGCTCACCCCAGGCTAGGTCCCGGCTGCTCTGCAGCTGACTCATTTCCTTCCTGGGGACAGCAAGCCCGGGGAAGTGACAGGAGGCAGGTCTGCTGGGTACCGGTCGGCCCCTCCTCACTGCAGCAGAGTGCCAGCCACAGGAGGCAGGAGGTGACGAGGAGACCCAGAGAGCAGGAATGTGGGGGCACCTTGGCTCAGGCACCTAGCAGAGAGGGGTGGGGATAGAGTCCCCGGGCTGGCCCTACCTGAGCCTCTCGTTCTCCAGCATGAACTCCCGCAGCATCCCATAGAGGTTCCGCTGGGCCCAGGCCCCCCGAGCCCCGTGGAGCCCTGGGGCTGTGGGGAAGCAGGAGGTGGTTGGATCCACAGAAGCCACAGACCCCACCCTTAGCCCACCTCTGTCCCGGGGGAGCTCACATACCCTTGGGGTCCATTTGGTCCAGCTGGAACCGCAGGCGACAGTTTTCCTCCTGGAGCTGCAGCATTTCATTCTCCAGACGTGGGGGCTGCTTTGCCACAGGGGACTGCAGAAAAGAGGCCCAGGGCGACCCTTTACGGCCACACGAGCTGCACAAGAACTGCCTGGTGCAGTGCTGCAGGGTGCCTGAAACTCAGCCCGTGCTTCAGTGGCCTTGCATCCATCTGGAGTGGCAGCTTATCAGAGCCACACCACGCTGGAGGGTCCCAATCCTTGCTGCATTTGGTTCTAAGTCCAACCCCAAACTCAATTTTGCCCCCAACTTGGCCCAGATCAGAAGAATGACTCCCTATGAGACCCCAACTCAACTCAGACTTATCCATGATCCAAAGTAAGATCACAGTGAAACCCCGAGTCCTATCCCAACCCAGACCCCAGCCCTGAATCTTCCCAAACCCTCACTACTGACCTTGGCTGAGACCATGACCCCTCCTACTCAGCTGCGACCACACCATTTCTAGGGTTCCAACCCAAATTAAACTCAGACGCAGTTCCAGACCCTAACCATGATGGCAGCACAGGCTCTGAAGACAGCCTGACTATGGGAGACCACGTCCCCTTCCTGTCCCTCTGCCTTCTCTCTCTGTTCACCTTGGGGGCCTGTGGCCTCGTGGTTACCCGCTGAGCTCGGCTTGCGTAACGTAGGGTGCTGAGAGTCTCAGGGAGGCACCGGGCAGAGGGGGACACGCAGGCCACCTAGGGAGGACACCCACTCCTGGGGAGTGCTCCTCTCAGGTGCCCCTTCCTCGGACCATGCCCTCCCTGCAGTGCCCCTCAGGTACCATGAGGGTGACCCCATGGCCCCCCAGTGAGTCTGCCAGCAACTTGGTGAGTTTGCTGTCCCGGAAAGGGATGTGGTTGTGCTTCCGCTGTGGGTCCAGCAGTAGGGAGATGCAGTGACCTGAGCGAGGACAGAAAGGTTACAGCACTCGTCCAAAGCCATCTCGCTGGAACACTTCGGGGCTGGGATAGCTACCAGGTCCAGGTGACTAAACCCACCCATTCACAGGATCTCCTTACCCTCCAGACTGGTGTTCACCACCAAACTTGGGACCCTCGGGGGGCACAGGCAGCCCTGTCCACCCCAATCCCCAGTGTCCCAGCCTGGCACTCAGCAGGGCCTTAGGGAATTTCTAACCAACAGCTGAATGGAAAGGAGTCTCAGGAGCAGCTCCCATGCCTGACACAGATCTCAGGATCTCAGTCTAATGACCTGGGAGGAACCCTGAGCCCTTCCTTCCCCTTACTGGGCCTCAGTCTTGCCAAGGGAAGGAGGGAAAGGCTGAATGTCACTGAGGGGTCACACTGCAGGGGGTCACTTCTACATTAGGACGTAACTCTCAGGCCCTTAGAGCATATGGAGGGATGGCGATGCTCTGGGTGGGGTCAGCAGCTGAGTCAGGGCCAGGTGAGGCCTGTGGCTCCTGGACCATAGCTCTGAGCTGTCATCTGCAATGTCTCTGGGCCCCACCGGGGTCAGCTACAGGTCAGGCAGAGACTCGGGGAACCAGATGTGTTGCTCCCAGGTCTCACCCAGGGCCAGCAGGCTGCGGTTGATGTTGTTGGCCTCAAGCATCAGCTCCCCACGGGATCCTGTGGCTGCCACCTTCTCACTGCCGGCCAGGTCCACAAAGCACAGCTTCCCACTGGCAGGGGGCTCCCCGGGGTCCAAAGGAGGCATCTGCTGGGGCTGGGGCTGGGGCACCAGGGCCTGATGGGGACTTGGGAGGGACTGTCCCCACTGGAGTCACAAGGTCACAAGACCAAGGCTTCCCAGCAGCGGCAGACCTGGGCACTCACCCTGGGGCGGCTGATGTAGAGCGTGAGCAGTGCGTGGCTGCGGCTGGAGGCCTGGTTGAGGGTGTGTGAGGAACTCCTCCTTCGGCTGAGACCTGGTGGGAAATGTCAGGAGCTGCCCGTGACAGCAGGCACAGGCCATGAGATGAGGAAAGAGGAGCAAAGGCATGGGTGGAGGGCGGGCTAGCAGAGCAAAGACACAGGAAGTAGTGTTGGTCCCAGGCAGGTCTGGTCTAGCAGAGTCAGACGGACAGAGGGGAGCACAGGAAAGACAGATTCTCATCTCCTAAACATCTCTCCCGTTGTCAGGTGGAAGGAGAGAGAGAAGAGAAATGGAGGCTGAGAAATCAGCTGAGAGAGTGGCACCACGCTGGGGTCAGGGTCCTTGGTGCCTGCCAGAGGACAGCTGCTCAATAAATCCTGGAGGAATGAATGAGGCTGGATGGGAAGGGCCCCACGGTGGGTAAGAGGTGCGATGGCCTCGAGGCATCAGAAGAGCGGAGATTCTGCAGACAAAAGGTAAGCAGCTTGAAGCAGGAAAGGGGTTGGCAGGGAGGGGCCTGAAGGTGGCAAAGACAGTGGGAGGTGGGGGGTGGCCTGGGGCTGAAAGGAGCTTGCAAGGCACAATCAGCCAGCCCTGGGGACAGGGTGGGTGGGGATTGAGGCCTGCAGCCTTGGGCCATCTCTGAATTACAGGTTTGCCAGTTCCTCTCCAAGACCTTTCTGAAGCCCCAGCTCCATCCTGGGCCCCAGGCGCCACTCAGCAAGGGCACCCACACCCAGGTTCCCCTGAAGGAGCCTCACCCATCTGCAGAAGTTCCATCAGGGCCTCCAGACCCCCGATTTCCACCACCCGCAGCTGCTCCACATAGAAGCCCCGGGTCTTGTTCCAGCGAACCGCGAGGGGCCGGGGAGACCCCACGCTCAGCAAGTCCCGAACCTGGGGGAGGAGGCGGAGGGAAGGGCTGCTCTGAATCCGGGCTCCCTCTGGCTCCAGCCCTTCCGGACAAGTCTCCACCTCCCCTTCTGCCCTCGACCCTGCCCCGCTTCCTCAGGGGCTGCCCTCCTCCTCCTCCACTCCTCACCTGCTCATTGTAGATCTCCAGGTAGGAGGCGCGCAGGGTGACGGGGGCACCCAGGTGCTGCGCGCGGTCCAACAGCCAGGCGAAGGTCCTCTGCATGATGCCAGCCAGGCTGGGGGGTACTGGCGCCCCCTCCCCCTGGGGGCAAAGCTAGCTGAGCCTGCGGCTGGGTGGGCCGCTGCAGCAGCGCGGCGATAAACTATCCTCTTTTTAGGGCACTTATGGCCCGCCAGGAACCGTGCCAGGGGCCGCGCTCATAGCTCATTTATTCCTCACTGTCCGCACAATCATTTCCATTTACAGAGGAAAAATCTAAGAGCTAGCAAGGGGCCAAACCGGCCAAGTCCCTTTCCTCTGGCCCTCAGCTTCCTGGCCTGAAAATGAATGGAGCCCATCCCTCTCGGGGACCCGGGGAAGGGGTGCGGGCGGCCGGCGCACCTGGGGAGGAGGTCCAGTCAGCGTGTAGGTCTTCCCCGAGCCGGTCTGCCCGAAAGTGAAGACGGTGCAGGAGAAGCTAGGGCGGCAGGGGCGCGGTGGGACCACGGCGGAGGCCCGGGCTGGGGGCGACATGGGCGAAGCCCACCCCACTCACCCGCGCAGAGCCAGCTCGCCCAGACGCCGCACGCCGCACGCCCGGAACACGTCCTCCTGCGTGCGCGCCCCGTCCAGCACTGCGCCGAAGCGGAACGCCACGTCGGGGCCGCCGCCCGGGGGGCTCACCTGGGGGGGGGGAGGCACCTGACGAGGCGGGGCACCTGGGGCGGGCGGGCGCTCGGGGAGGGCCGGGCAGCGCGGGGTGGGGCTAAGGGAAAAATGCCCTGCGGTCCGGGCCTCCCAGGGTTAGGTTTTGGGGGGGCTGCGGGTTCCTCACCTGCAGTGTCTGGGTCCCCGAGCAGTGCAGCGCGCTCTGTTCCCCTCGACGCAGCTCGGCCGTGCTCATGGGCCGCACCCTGGGATCCAAGCGAAGGCCAGATGATCCCTCCCGGTGTCTCCATCGGTCCCGTCCTCGCCCGAGGTCCTCCTAGCCACCTTATACCCACCTGAGCACCACTTGGATGGGCGTTTCCTGCCCCTGTGGCCCTTGCTCCAGGCTCCGAGCGGGGTCCCTGTAGTAGCAACACGAGTCACCGTCCCTGCAGTACCCGCTTCCCTGCCCAGCTGTCCACTGGGAGAGACGTTCAGGGCTCCCCAACATCCCTGAAGCTCGGCTTACCCATCGGGAGACCCGCGTTCCTCCATGTCCTGCTCTGAGCACGGCCTTAGCTCCTCCCGCCTCCTTCCTTTTCCTCCCCGATGCCCTCCCTTCTCCAGCACCGCGGGACCGGCCACAGGTCCCAGGCAGCCATCCATCCGGAAAAGCTCCCGCCTGCCCTTGGCTGGTTAGTTAAAGATTTACCCCCATACCCACCCTGCGGTCCTGAAAATCTCAAGCTAGGGCCCCCTAGCTAGGGGGTTCTGGAATCTGAGGCTCCCTTGCTCTTGGCCAGACCTTCAGTCAGTAGGGGACCTACGCGACCACCGAGACCAGCCTTGTCGGAAACAAAGGCGGACAGGAAGCCAGGTCACAGAGCCAGCCAGAGCAGGGCAGGGAGCAGGCTCTCCCTACTCCCTCCACACACTCTCCCTGCCCTCCCAGCACCTCCAGTGCGGTCCCCGCTCAGGGCCCAGCGGGGGGGGGGGGGGGCTCCAGGGAACTCCTGGTTGCCTGAGAGCAGGTTGCCAGCATCTGGTTAGGCACTGAGGCCCCTGCCTCTGCCACTCCACATCTAATCCCAGGCGGCGCGGTTGGTTATTTATCTCCCTGGTGTGGCTTCTGACAGCAGCAGAGAGGCCCCGGGAGGTGCTGGGTCTCCAGGCTGGGAATCTGTGCAGGCCCACTCCCAGTTCCCAGGCTGGCTGAGGAGGCAGGGACCATCAATCCGGTGGGCGGGGGCCTCAGGCAGAGTGGGCAGAAGACACACACTTCCAGAAGGTGGGGTGGCGAGCAGAGAGGTGGTCTGAGGCTGGACCCAGCTCACTGGAGGACGCTCCAAGGAGTCCAGCCTCACCCCTTAGGGAACCCAGAAACCGTTGAGAGTTGTAAACAGGAAAGTGACACCATCGGACTGACATTATATTTATAATTATTATTGCCCACCTACTTTCTCTCACTTTAAGGTGACAAACGCTAAAAGTCACCCCCACCCCAATGTTACACTGTACCACCACAGACAGGCGCCGGCTACCAAAGCCACCCTTCCTAGGAATGAACTGTCTCGGGTCGCAGTGAGCTGCCCGTAAACTGGAGGTGTGCAAGCAAAGCCCATGGATTTTTTAGCCACAGGACCTTCTGGCTGCATCTACAGGGAGGGTTTTGTAGAGCAAAGAATGATCCTATAGAGAAATGTAAAGCTACAGGAAGAAATAAAGAGCACTAGCAAGAAGGAATATAAAATCATTGTGGTTGCTTGGAAGAAATACTAATGATTTGCTATCATTCTTATATAGAGAGAAATAATTATACATGGTATTAGTATAAAGGCTAGGAGGGGTGAGTGAAGATAACCTGTGGAATTGTGGAATTGGCTCCTCACTTGTTTGGGTCATGATAAAAGCAATTTAAGGTAGACTGTAATAAGTCAGGGATGCGTAGAGAAATCTTTTAAGGTAATTACATTAAAAATAAAAGTTAAAATTAAAAAGTCGATAGTAGAGAAGAATGAATTAAAACTACTTGATTGATTCAAAAGAGGACCAAAAAAGAAGAAACAGAATCACAAAGAACAAATGGAACAAGCAGAAAATAAATAAGAAGGTACAATTAAGTGCATTTATATCAGCAAATACAGCTGGCCCTCTGTATACTCCACTTAGCAAGCAGCAGATCCAACCAAGCATGAATGGAAAATATTTTTTTAAAATGCATCTGCACTGAACATGTACAGATATTTCCTAAAAAACACAGTATAGCAACCATTTAATAGCATTATCTTGTATCAGGTATTTTAAGTTATCTAGAGATGAAGTATGTGCAAGGATTGCACAGGTTATATGCAAATACAAAACCATTTTATGTAAGAGATTTGAGCATAGTGGATTTTTAGTATCCTCAGGTATCCTGGAACCAATTCCCCATAACTTCTAAAGGACAGCTGTATACTGATAGCAGTACATAGGCTAAACACTCCAAATAAAAAAGACAAAGATTTTCACACTGGATACAAAAATTAGAATGTATCTTTGTTTAATAATGTAAAAAGAAGCACCTATTTGGAAAGCTGAAGCAGGAGGATCACAAGATTGAAACCAGCCTGAGCCACTCAGTGAGACCTTGTCTCTAAATAAAATATAAAAAGGACTGGGGGACCTGGGATGTGGCTCAGCAGCACAGTGCCTGCCTGGCAAGTGTGAGGTCGAGTTTGATTCCCAGTACCAAAAAGAAAAAAGAACCGGGGTGTAGCTGAGTGATAGAGTGCCCCTGAGTTCAGTCCCCACATTCAATCCCCAGTACTGCAAAGAAAAAAATTTTTAAAGCAACAACAGCAACAAAAATCACTCAAATATATAAGAAAAGAAATATATTAAAAGTAAAGTTGAAAAAATTATATCACACAAGTCCTAACCAAAAGAACATATATTAATATCACAGTAAGTAGACTCCAAGGTAAGAAGTATCAATAGAGACAATGAGAAGCTTTTTATATGACCCAACAGGAAAGCATAGTAATCTTAGATTGTATTCATTCAATAAGAGAACTGCAAAGGAGAAAGTGAGAAATCCATCAGCGCAGATAGTAACTGTAACACGACTTTCTCAGTAACTAATAGAACAGATAAAAAGTCATTAAAGATTCAGAAGACTTGAACAACACTGCTACTTGACTTGATCAAGACAACCCATACAGAACACTCAACTCAGTAACTGTAGAAAACACATTCTTTTCTACTACACAGGAAACATTCCCTCAAAATAGAGATTGGGCTGGAAAGCCAGTGCCAAAAATTTTAAATGATTAAAATTACACTGAGTATGTTTTCTGGCCATAAAAGAATTAACCTAGAATTAATAAAAGGAAGATAACTAAAATAATCCCCCCAAGTAGTTGGAAGTCAAACAAGAACACTTCTAAATGACCTCTAGATCAAAAAGGAAATCACAAGGTGATTAGAAATATTTTGAAAATGACAGTAACGCAAGTATAATATATATGAGCAGACCTCAGTGTGTAATCTATATGATCATATTGGAAAAGAAAAAAGGTTAAAAAACCAACCATCAAAGTTTCCATCACAGGAAGCTAGAAAAAGTATAGCACACTAAACCCAAAGAAAGAAGGAAAGAAATCACACAGCTAAGAGGAGAGACCATTGAAATACATAGTTGACATATAACAGAATACATCAACAAAGCCAAAAGCTGCTTTTTTAAAAATGAGGTCATTAAGTTAAATAAAGACCTAGCAAACTTCAGAGAAGATCTAACAGCGATATTCCTCAAACACTTTAATGAAATCTAAAGGGAAAGAATACTCCTAAAGTCACTCCTGGAAGCTAGTATTACCCTAATCCAAAATCAGGCAAGGATCCAACTAAAATAGAAGACTACAGGCCCATCTCTTTAATGAACATAGTGGTAAAAATCCTCAACAAGATACTCGCAAACAGAATGCAACAGATCATCAAAAAGATCATATGTCGTGACCAAGTAAGCTTCATCCTAGGATACAAGGATGGTTCAACACATTCAAATCAATAAATGTAATATATCACATAAACAGCAAGGACAAAAATTACATGTTAATCTCAATGGATGCAGAAAAAGCCTTTGACAAATTCAACATTCATACATAATAAAAAATAACTCTGAAGAAAATAGGTATAGAAGGACTTTTCTCAATCTGATAAAAGCCATTTATGACAAACTTTCTGCCAACACCATATTAAATGGGGAAAACCTGAAAGCTTTCTCTCTAAAATCAGGAAGTAGACAAGCATGCCCATTATCACCACTCGTTGTTCAGCTTGAAGCATTAGCCAGAGCAATCAGTCAAGAGAAAGAAATGAAAGGGTTAGTGTAGGAAAGCAAGAAATCAAATTATCCTTATTTGCAGATGAAATGATCCTCTACATAGAAGGATATTCCACCAAAATATTCCACCAAAAGATTCCTAGAATTAATTACCAAATTCAACAATGTAGCAGGATATATCAACACATAAAAATCAATAACATTCCTTTACACAAATAATGAACTCAAAGAGAAACAAATTAGGAAAACCATACCATTTAAAATAGCATCAAGAAAAACTAAATACTTAGGAATTAACCTAACCAAGGAAGTGAAAGACCTCTACAATGGAAACTACAGTACCCTGAAAAAGGAGATTGAAGAGGATATCAGAAAATGGAAATATATCCTTTGTTCCTGGATAGGTCAAAATGGTCATACTTCCCAAGTTGGTATACAGATTTAAAGCACTTTCAATCAAAATAGCAGCAGTACGCCTCTCAGAAATAGAGAAAACACTCCTAAAAATCCATGTGGAACCAGAAGCAATCCAGAAGAGCAAAAGCAATCTTGAGTAACAAGAGCAAAGTAGGAGGAATCACAATCCTCAATTTGAAGTTGTGTTACAAAGCCACTGTGATTAAAACAGCATGGCACTGGCAAAAAAAAAAAATAGTCATGTGGATCAATGGAACAGAATAGAGGATGCAGAACAACCCCAGGCACATTCATCTATTTGATCTTTGATGAAGAGGGTAAATACATACACTGGAAGAAAGCCTCTTAAATAAATAGTGCTAGGAAAACTGACTGTCTATATGCAGAAGACTCACTCTATACCTGAATCTCTCACCATGTGCTAAACTAAAATCAAAGTGGTTCAAAGATCTAAATGTTAACACAGAAAGAATGTGCTGGAAGATAAGATAGGTAAAAACATAGGTGTAGGCAAGGACTTTCTGAACAGAACCCCAATGGCACAAGAAATAGTACCAATAATTTAAAAAACGGGATCATACCAAATCAAAAAGCTTCCCAGCAAAGAAAACAACCAACAGAGTGAAGAGACCACCTATATAATGGGAAAACAATTTTGCCATCTATTCCTCAAACAGAGGCCTAATATCTAGAAGATATTATAAAGAACTCAAAAAATTGACCCCCAAAAGAAACAACCTAATCAAAAGATAAGCAACTGAAATAAGTTTGTACTTCTGCAAAGTACAGGGGAAGTACAAATAGCAGATGAATACATGAAAAAAATATTCAACATAGCCGGCTATTAGAGAGATGCAAATTAAAACAACACTGAGATTCCATTTCACTCCAGAAAGAATGGCCATCATGAAGAAATCA